AACACAAGAATGTGGACATCTATAGAAGCTTGTTTCGGGGTTGATTAACTACTGTACTCCGGTGTTAAAAAAAGCACGGCATTTTAGAAGCGAACATATATGGACGAAAGCTGCAATCATATTGGCAGTCTCGCGCTTCAGGTTTGTTTGATCTTTTGAGCAATCTTACAGCGAGAACTGATATATGAGACCACAACAACGGATAGTTTTTCGCGAGGCTGTTTTTGTGGAGTTTTAGTGGATCATAAATACATACAGCTTTAGTAGTCTGCGAAGCTTTTTCCTCAGAAGCAGACGCACACGAATTTGTTGTAATCAGTGTGCACTCCGGACTTATGTATCAGCAGAACTACCGGTAACCCCGTCCCGGGACAACAATGCCGCGCGCATGAGCTGAGCTATCTATAAAGTCATGAAGTAAATATTCTGCCGTACTCCGGTCCTCTAGCCGAGGCCTCTTCCATCTCAGTATGTTGCTCTTGTTGCGAACGCATCAGTACCGGATGTACCATGCGAAGGGCAGAGCCGTTAGGCGGAAAATTCGATAAAGGTTGCACCGCAAGGTATACGGCCCCATGCCCCATTCGTGATCTTCGTTAACGGTTTTTTTTTTTTGGGGGGGGGGGGGGAGGATTCGAGAGGACACAAAGTGAGTTGCAGACAAAACAAAACAAGAGAAAAAGCGATCCCGACGTTCAAAATTGAAAGGCCTCTCAATATACCACCACAGCTAGAAATCCACCGTTAGTACTACGGCTACGTTCATCATTTCGCAAGCATATCAGCGTCAATCTCTCGCGAGCCGTTTCACGCGTGGCTGCCGGAACGTATCAATTTCGTAAGCATTTTGGGCGGAATAAAGCGGAGCATTCTAGCACGAGCAGTCCGTCTATGGCATACATGTGGAGTCCCCACAGGCAAAGAATGGGCGTTTTGCAACGCAGTTCCGTCGAATTATATAGCTATTGTTAGGCTTTTTGTAGTCGTTTGCATCATCGGAAATATTGCGGGCGCACCTACGAATCGGGTAAATGGCGATGTTCTTATTGAAAAAGGTGTTACCGATGGACTCTTTTCATGTAGAAGGTAATTATGTTGCTTCTACAGAGTGCAATATCGGCCGTCATTAAAGCTCGGCACTCAGATGTGCGTGGCACATGCCAGCTGGTGTTCTGATGATTTTTTAGAGCAGCCTGTACTTGTGTAGCCAAAATGTAAGCAGTATGTGAGCTGCGTTGAGAAGGTAGAGCTGGGAGAGCCTCATTGATAAGAAAATAAATATTTAGGTGCTCAATATTTCTAATATCAGAGGAAGATAGTGTGCTCTTGGTACGCCAATGTCGAGAACCGATTTGTGCTTTACTTTGTAAGAGGCGATTCGGCAGACTATTTTATTTTAAATAAAAAGTCGTATATAATCGAGTGAAACTTCTGAAAAATGAAGAGACATTTTGCAAAACGAATATCAACTAGAAGGCGACTAATTAGCAGGAAAGAAAGCAAAGCATATACAGCCCAGAGAAACTTCCGTGTTCGCGGTAATCAGCATGCTTGATGATTGGGTGGATAGGTTCCTGCTAGCTTCCTTCGCGTATTACTATACGGTATAGCTAGACCTATTCTGTCTTAAATGCAACAGCGCTTATCTCCACGCAATTCGCCACTATTCCCTTAACAAGCAGTGCGCATCGCTTTACAAGAGCTCTAAGCGATAGGAAAAAGATAAAACCTTTATTGAGCCAAAAGGGGCGACTATTTACTCACATGAAGGCCGAATGCATTGCTTCTTTATAAAACAAAGTGGTATGTACATGTTGCGTGAAAATATTTTGAGAGCTTCAAAAATTTTCTACAAGATGCAACAGAAAAACATTGAAGTAATAAGTATCTTGCATGCATAGTGAATACGCGGCTTGAGCAGCTTCGAGAAGGAAAGTTTCGAAACAGTCATTTCCAGAGCAGTGTTTCCCGATGTCATTACCCAAAGACATGCATGCCCGTGTTCATGCATTGAGGTGTCGTTGTTCCCTTCCAGTTCGCGCCAGGTCACTGAGAGTATGTAGTACTATCAACACGCACAAGGAGCACTGGATGGCAGCAACGGAGCTATCTTTTTTGTCGCTGTTGAGTGTTCTTTGTTGCTACTTGTGCTGTTGTGTTCGCATACTATGCGTGATGGGACGGCTGCTAAAGATCACGGTGATCGATAGCACGCTGGCACACGATAGCTTCCAAAAGAGATTGCGCAGTGCAATAATGGAGGCTGTATATCGGCGTTATCGTAGCGTTTCTTGGATGCAAGCTGGGCTTAGAAGGATTATCTGATCCTTTGAGCGTAACCCATCCACCTAAAGGAAAAGGAAGCTCAGAGGTTTATGAAGTTCCTGTGAGAACAAGCTGCTGGAACCTTTCATACCATTTAGAAATATTCATGATTGCGGCATCTCTAGACAGCAACCATAAATCAAATTTTCCTCTCCTATTTCTGTCTTTTTCTGCTGTTACTTAGGGAGGGCACAACGTGTAGGCCAGATTCTTTCGCTTTCGTCGCGTCCACTTCGTTGAGTTGTGTGGCTATAACATCTGTTATACTTGTTTCAAGGGTTCATCACAAGTATGACGATGAGTCATTTATTTATACAACTTGGAGCCCATGAATGACAATACTTCAGTGCGGTAACGGCCACCATAGTTGTGTACACACAACACGCTTGCTATATCAAGGACCACGCGAAGAAAGACTAGTTGACCTCGCACTGAATGGTGTTCTTTGGTGAGGGGCATCGGTGGGGGTTGGTGTCGCGGCAGCTAGATTATACATGTATATATGGACAAATGCCACACCACATGAATATTGGAGAAGAAAACTACTCATACTACGTGTTGTGAAATATTTTAATGTGCTGCACTACTCTGCTACAGATGCATCCCGGTACTCGCTTGGCATGTCAGCTTGCAGTCAATGTGAAACAACAGAGTTGTTATTGTAGTGGCGCCATGGTTACGAGTTGTTTAGATTTGGAATACTGCTTCGACATAGGTGTGTTAGCGATTTCCTATAGCGCACAGCTGTCCCTATTAGTGCATTTGGTCTTTAGTTTCTCTGGCCAAAGCAAAATCCCATCGAGGAGAGACACACACTGCACGCGTGCATTATTCGGCCCTAATCTTGGTGCAGGTTTGCGCCGCTGAAAACGCATGCAACTGAGAATTTCGGCCTAGTTCGCGGAAGAGTTCATTTTAAATATGCAGTTCTTGTGATGTAGTTTAACGTTCCTGAATATTGTAGAGCAGTCTTGGAAACGAAGGTACGGTGACACTTTGCTACCCATTTTCATTTGTGCTTTCGCCTGCCATGGTAGCTTAGCCGCAAGGGTCGCGTCACTGTAACTCGAAGACGAGGGCTGTGCTCTAGTCCACAGCCGCGGCCGCAATTAGAAGGTGGCAACATGTGAACAACACCAGTTAGCTTATGTCGGTGTTTACGCTAAATAACCTCAGTTTGTCGTGCTTCATTTGCAGACCCCAACCACGGCGTGCTTTATGATTATATAAGGGTTGTGGGAAGTCCAGCAATCGTGTACGTTCACGCATGAACTGCGCAGGGGTATTAAGTTTATTAGGATAATAAAAATTTGCTCTGGCCGTTCTTTATGTAGCTCGTTAAACTATTGAGTGCTATAAGTGGCCTGCAAAACTAAAAATGCATGTTCTTGCCCAATGTAGATTGATGCCGATAACAAACACATTACTGGTTGGCTGGTTGTAATGTGGGGTTTAACGTCCTAAAACCACTGTATGATTATGAGAGACGCCGTAGTGGAGGGCTCCGGAAATTTCGACCGCCTAGGGTTTCTTAACGTGCACCCAAATCTGAGCACACGGGCCTACAACATTTCCGCCTCCATCGGAAATGCAGCCACCGCAGCCGGCATTGGAACCCGCTACCTAATGGTCAGCAGCTGAGTACCTTAGCCACTAGACCACCACGGCGGAGCAAAGATATTACTAGTGTTCAATAAAACAAGACTGTTTTGGAAGTAGAAGTTACTGTATTTATGACAAACTGTTGTATTTATTACAAACCCCTTTGAAACTTTCTGCACATAACATCGTTTCACATTGACCTCAAGGTCAGTCAGCTACGATGACTTTGCACTGCCTCTGTGTTCACGCCACTTTCGACCAAGCTATGATGCGATGTGATTACGTCCTCATGCGGCGTTACGTCACGCTACAACGCTGTGATGTCATGATGATTTCGCAAGTTTTGGAGATCTTCAGCGCCACTGTGACGTTAAAGGGTGATGGCACCTCGTGATGGTCTTTTGCATCACTTGTCCCCTATGACGCGGGAAGCGGATGGTCAAGCTTTATGTTTGATGAGGCATGCTTTGAAATTTATAACCGCAAAAGCGTCTGGGCTATCGCAAAGGAGCAGCGCCAGCTAGCTAACATTTTTTTTTCAGCTCGTCAATTCTTTTTTATTTTCATTGGGAAGCATGCGAACAAGTGGACAAATATTTCTTGGTTTCTTAATATGTATTATTGGTGTTTACCATCCCAAAACAACCATATGATTATGAAAGATGACAGCGTAGACGGCTCCGGATATTTTGATCACCTGGGGTTCTTCAACATGCACCTAAGTCCAAGCACATGAATCTCGAACATTCTCGCCTCCATCGAAAATTCGGCCACCACAGCCGGGATTCGATACCATGACCTGTGCGTTTGCTTGTTGTCTACCCGCCACAGTGGTCAAGTGGCTGGGCACTAGGCAGCTGTCGTTTAGGTCGCGTGATGGAATCCTGACAGTGGAGGCCTCTTTTTCGATGAAGGTGAGAATGCTTGACACCCATGTGCTTAGATTTAGATGCACGTTAAGAAACCCAGGATGCCGAAATTTCCGCAACCCTCCATGGCGTCACCTCTCATACTTTTATGGTGGTTATGGAAGGTCAAAGCCCGAAAATCATTGTTATTTGTTTTTCTCGCAGTTACGGGTGACGTGCAAGAGGCGCTCCTGATCGCACTCGCTGGTGGTTGATATAGACATCGAGGCAAAGGCCGAAGATATAAATCTTTACCTAACTAGTGAATGCCTCAAAATCACCTCTCTGTGGACTTGAGGCAGCTTTTTCCAGTCATGTAACATAAGCCGCAATCCTAGAATCTGTGTGTTTCGACCACGAAAGTTTAGCCGTGATTCACAATATTCATTTTGACGTGATAATTCTGAGAAGCGTTATACATTATTTTAGGCCTGCATGACATTAGCAACTTGTAATAGCTTAATTTAGTTCATTCATTGTGCCAGCATGAGTAGCGGTTTTCTGAACGTACTAGCGACCTTTTTTGAAAAACGATTCTAGCCGCACATTGTCCAACAGTATGGAGGAAGAAAAGTGAAGTCCAACGCAGTTCAAACATGATTTTACCACCAGCCTCTCGTGAACCGTAGGTAGCTTTGTAGGCATAACACATTGTATTCGTTTCATTGTTTGCCCACATGTTGAGAGATGTACGATGTCCTGAATAGAGTGAGCTGTAAAGCTGAAAAGAAAATGTTCCCACGTTAGACAACTTCGTAGGAAAAATAGTGGGCAAGTAACTCCGGGAAATGATAATAAATAAAGCAGTCAGTTGCGCTTTCTTCATTCATAAGATGGAATGTTTTATTGAAGACTATGACTCCTCTTCCGTCGTTGCAGACTTTTTTCAAATAAACACTGATTCAGGGGAAAATTTTGTTGGCGCATACTTTAACAATTATATACCATTGTGACCAACGCTGTGGTAACGGAAGTTACCTACACATCCGGGGACTTGTCGTTGTTAGGTACGTTGTCGTGTCTTCTTTGCCAGACAATGCGTGACGCGTCCTTCGATTGAGAACATAGTTAATGTCGACACACGATTTATCCACTCATCAGGGCATACTATACAACTTCTTTTTATCCGTACAAAAATAGCTACTATGATGAATACATGGCGTATACCTGGTAATAATTGTATGGGCCACTGCAGGCCTTCATGCTGTTAGCAGATGAAGTGGTGTGTGTGGGGGGGGGGGGGAGATCTCTCTTTTGCCTTAAGTGTGTCATAGACGTCGGTACCTGGGGACTATTGATGAGATTGTCAACGTATTGGGCAGACGTGAGCTGACAGGAGAAGTGCCGGAAGGAATTAATCTGAAGAGAGGGTGTGCGCCGTTTGCTGCAATCGTGTGACCGGCGTTTCAGCGGATATTGAAAGACTGTCATTAAAAAATGGAGGGGGGGGGGCTAGTGTCAACGTTACGATGCTGCCATTGAGCTGCGCGGGAAAGTACTTTTTCGATTTACATAAATTGTTGCCTACTTTCAAAGGTTCTCAAGCAATTAGCATTCAGAATTGGAAGCTTTGAAAGAAACGAGAGAAAGAAGAGCTACCACAGTGTTTAACGTGTTAGGCGGAAGACACTTTACTTCTAAGCATCACAATAGAGTTGTGCAGTCGTTATTTATCCGACACCATTTGAAGTGTATTTTTATAGGGGCGCTAAAGTAGAATTTCCTATCCAGGATCATGTCGAACTTCACTGAAGTCTGCAATGTGATTGAGGCTATCCAAATATATTCTATTGATCACCTCACCACACGGCAACAACTTCTTGAGGCGGCTCGTTTTCTATAGCAGCTCTTAGATAGTCAGTGAACAGGCAACAAAACGAAGGGGACGCTGAACACTCAGATTAGCAACTTAAGGTAAACAGTGCAAAAATAGCAACGGGTATGGAAAAGGACGGGACAAGCGCTGACTTCATTCCAACGAAAATTTATCGATAAAACGGCTTCTATATACCTAGTGAACAGAAAATACAGTGGAAAAAGATGACAGATGCAATGATACAAAATCACGTCCACAATCACTGAGCTTGCTATGTCGACCCTCACACCCCAAAAAAGAGAACTCTCTATCTGACAGTGCAACTGATGGCTTACTTACCCACGCGCCCCTCTCAAGCACCACATGAGCAGCCTCACAGATTACGCTCTCAGCAGCAGCCATGTTGATGGCGACATTAGCCGGCTCGTCATAAGAAACTTCTTGACAGCAAATGGGTAAAAATTTTGGCAATGCCGTCAGCTAAACACTCTTCCGCCGATTCCCTCATTGTCAGAGAGTCTACTTCTGAACTTTCAGAGGATTTCCCGCCACGGTGCCCACACCAGACTGCTGTCACATCATATTGTTCTTCTTGTCTAGAGAGAGATGTAGACTTTATTGATTTCCAGCAGATTGCTCGGATGGGCTCCTAGCCAGGGGCCAACGTAGAGACCGTTTCTCCCGGCAGCTTCCTTGGCCTACTGGATCGCCCAAAGTTGCTTGTCCAGGCCCGAACTGAGCAGCACAGTCTACCAACGCGCCCGAAGGTCTTCATTGGAGGCCGCGACCCCAGAATTTCTGACTAATTCATTTCATTCATTCATTTTTTTACCCTCAGGGCCATATTACATAATAGAGGGGAGTGGAAATAAAGTTTTCAAGGAAAAGGAAAATACAACTTGAGAATATACAGCATAGAAAATACATATTATACAGCAGAATGTACAGCAGAGAAATTACAGCATGAGAATAAACATTGCAACAAATATATAAACAAAAAAAGTAAAGAAAAACTCCTGATTATACAGAGTAGCTGTGCAACGACGGCGAACATAACACAGGTTTGAGTAACGTTTAGCTCATGCAGTAGTGAGTAATGTTTGACGGAAAATACTGTTATTAGTAATAGTTACGATGTCTTTGGGAAGGTGGTTCCAATCTACTGATGTACGAGCTATAAATTATCGATAAAAATTATCGATCATCGGATATGGTCAAGCCACTCTTGACCATATCTTAAGGAAATGCTGGACGTTCCCATAGGATCTGGTCAAGAGTGGCTCTGGTGGTACAGTACTTGCATAGATTAGAACTATAGACGTCGAGATATATGTGGCAAATGATGACAGGATTCGTGTATGTGCGTGTTTGTAGCTGCCGCCACTCAACGGACTGGGCCCGATTCAGCTTGGGGTGAGGTAGTGGGTACTGCCGCCTTTACAATTGATAGTGTTGAATCATGTCATTAAATTTAGTTCGCCGATCATCTCATTCTCACACCGGCGAAGAAAGGTCTGTTTAGGTGGTCGCTTCGTCTGACGTGACACGGAACGTAAGGCCTCGAGCCACGTTGTGCGCCACTTCATTCGGACTGTACTCCGCGTTACCTAGTGGTGTGTGGGCAGGGAACCACAAGATGTGCACGTATTTGTCCACCTCGCGAATTTCGCCTGTGCTAAGAATCCGCAATGCCTCGGGGGAGATTCTGCCGCTGGCGTAGTTTCGAACGGCTGTCTGCGAGTCGCTGATTACGCATGAGGCGTTAGTGTGGGCTATGACCATAGCGATAGCCACTTCCTCTGCCATTTATACGTTCCGTGTGATGATTGACGTGCTGCTTATGCATTGTTGCGTGTGGTCTAAGACAGCAGCCACGAAGCGGTGACGTTCCGGGTAGCCTGCTGCATCGACAAAGACTGCCTCATGGTTGTGCCCAAACATCTTTGACAGGGCTATGGCTCTACTGACATGTCTGCCTTTGTTGTGATCAGGGTTCATGTTTCTGTGTATGGGTGGTACTGTGAGCTTGGCACGAATAGTGCGTGGTATGTCGTGTTTATCTCCGTGTTGAGTGTGGTAAGAAATACCGAGATGACATTGAATCTGGCGGCCTGGCTTAGTCTTGGCTAATCGCTCAAGTTGGAAGATTTGTTGCGCCTCAATAAGTTCCTCAACAGTATTGTGTAAACCAAGCTGAAGGAGGAGTTCGGTGCTTTTGTTTTCAGGCAAACCTAGCGCTTGTTTGTAACTTTTTCCAATTAGGCTGTTGAGTTTTGACTTTTCCGCAGTGAACCATCTCTGGTACGCCGCCGTATAGGTGATGTGACTTAGAACGAATGATCGTATCAAACGGATGATGCTAGCCCCTTTCATGCCTTTGCATTTATTGGTAAGGCGCCTAATGAGACGCATTGTGTTAGACACTCTGGCTTCAATGTTGCGAACTGTCTCTTCGTTGTTACCCCTACTTTCTATTATCAGACCTAGCATTAGGATTTCATCCACGGTTGGTATGGCGGGACCATCGCTTGTAGTGAGTTTTATATCAGCGTGTGCCTGCGCTTGGGGATGTTGTTTAATTGGCTGACCTCAAAGTGTAGGGCGATATAACAGTAGCTCAGATTTCTACGCCGAGCAGGATATTCCAGATCTTTGTGAATACCATTCCACTGTGTATGTTCCCTCCTGTAATCTCTGTTCAATGGAACCGTCACTGCGGTCGCACACCCAGAGGGTGATGTCGTTGGCGTAAATGATGTGATAAAGTCCTTGAATGGTTTGAAGTTTTGAAGGAAGACCAGTGAGGGCGAGGTTAAACAACACGGAAGAGATCACGGAACCCTGCGGGGTGCCCGCGCTTCCCATGCTCATTTCGGACGACCTGAGTGCTCCCACAGTAATTGTGGCTGTTCTGCCCATAAGAAACGCTCTTATATAGTTGTACCTGCGAAGCCCCAAGTAGAAGGTATTAACCTGATTTAGAATGGTGCTATGCGTGACAGAATCAAAAGCCTTCTTGAGATCTAGACCAAGTATGCGCTTAGTGTAGTGTCCTGTACTGTCTATGATGTTATGCTTAAGCTGCAACATGGCATACTGCATTGAAAGATGTCTGCGGAAGCCAATCATGGTGTGTGGAAGAAAAATCATTGTCTTCGAAGTAATTTGTCAGTCTTGCCAGGAAAGCGTGTTCCATCAATTTGCCTATGCATGATGTTAAGGAGATGGGCCTAAGATTGTCAGTATTCAGTGGCTTGCCTAGTTTCGGAATCGGAATCACCTTGGCCGCTTTCCACTGCGGGGGCAAGATTCCGGTGTTTAAGCAGTTATTAATATAGCTTCGGATATGCGTGATCGACTCTTCGTCCAAAATACGTATTATCTTATTCGTGAAGTTGTCCGGACCTGGTGCAGATTTGGTGTTAAGTTTTTGTAGGGCGGCACGGATATCCGCTTCGGTGAATTCTTCATATAGAGTGGTATTGACGTGGCCCGTATATTCTGGATGCTGCTGAGTAGGAGCCTGAGAGATATATTTGAGCTCTACCCCTTTAAGAAACTCCTCGTTGGTACCCTTGTAAGCATGGATTAGTTTGTTAATGATTCGTCGTTGGGCGATAATGCTGTCTGCTAGATCGAGCAGGAACCGTAGAAAATGCCATATTTCACGAAAACTTAGCTGACTCTTCATTGCATCGCAGTTATCATCCCAGTGTTGCCGTCTTAACTGTGTTGCATACATCTCTATCTCTGTGTTGAGGAGTTCTATGCGTCTCCTGAGGTTTCTGTTGTATTTCTGTGTCTTCCACCTCTTTCGGAGCGATTTCTTTGCCTCCCGCATGTGGAGGAGCCGGCTATCGATCTCTTCGAGGTGTGCCTCGGGAGGTACGATTCGGGTGGCATTATTAGAATACTGTTTAGGCGTGTGTATGTAGTCCTCTTTTTTTCTGATGGGTTGGACCTGGTTCTGACGTTATTTGTGGAACTGGGTTCAGCCTACCGACTTAAGCTCTTTTCTCATGGGTTTACGTGGGCCACTTTGAACATGTACCTCGTTGGTGTAGTCGTCGCTGCCGAGTTCTCTAGGGTGTTTTTCC